TGAATATAGAAAAATAGAAATAATAATAGGAAAGAAGAACATAATAACATAAAGAAATATTACAATATACATATAAAATATAAAATACTAATATAAAATAATAATAAAATATCAATAAAACCAATATTGTAAATATATAAATGAATTATTCATTATAATCATATTTAATTTTAAGAAATAATACCAATGAGAACAATAATTATTATATTAATGATAAAGATTATGACAGTAATAATAATAATAATAATAATAATAATAATAATAATAATATAATAATAATAATAATAATAATAATAATAATAATAATAAATAATAATGATGATCAATAATAAAGATAATTATTATTAATATTGTCATTACTATTATCATTATTATTATCATAATAGTATTAGTAATAATAATGACTCACAATACAGTAATAATAAAAATAATAATAATAATAATAATAATAATAATAATAATAATAATAATAAATAATAATAATAATAATAATAACAATAATAATAATAATAATAATAATAATAATAATAATAATAATAACAATAATAATAATAATAATGACAATAATAACAATGATAACAGTAATAGTAATAATAATAATGCTAAGTATGTAGTAATAATAAAAACAATAATATTAATAATAATGATAATAATTACAATAATAATAATAATAATAATAATAATAATAATAATATAATAATAATATTAATAATAATAATAATAATAATAATAATAATAATAATGATAGTAGTAATAATAATAGTAACAGTAATAATAATAACACATATAATATAGTAATATAATAACAGATAATAATAATATCAATAATAAAGATAATGATGATAAAAATAATAATGATAATAACAGCAATTCTCTTTCTGTCTGTCAGTTTTACCAAGACAAGATTTATTTAGCAAGTATAGCTTGAACAATCTACTTGTCTGTCTATCTATCCGTTTGTCTTTCTATACCTATCTGTTTCGGTTTGTCTGTTTATCTGTGTCTGTCTGTCTGTCTGTCTGTTTTGCATTCCCTCTTAATATCTTTGCAGACTAAAGATGATGATTACATCAATCATCTTAACATTAAATACTCTTATGAATATGCAATATGAGAAATGAAGGTGAGTAGATGTGGAGAAAAAAAATAATAATAATAAATAAAAATAAAATAAAGTCCATGAAATTCTTCCTCTTTCAGATTATTCCGATACATCTTACATTGAAATGCTAATTAGGAATTTTAAAAAATAATAATACATAGAACTTAATACTGAATGCAAAATGAACTGTGACCTCATATCACACTTTTTATCACCTGAATAAATAAAATACACAAGCTCCATACAGTGTACACAACTAACATTCATTATGCAGACTTGAATATGAAGTCTCTGTTCTACATATATTTGCTTATGTTATTCAAGTCTATTTATGCCCCCCCTTTGCCCCCTAAAAAAGACAACATATTTTAAAAGCATTAAGCAAAATATGTTTTTTAAAAAAAGAGACTTTCCGATCAAAATCACAATGCTTGGTACCTATCATCACAACCGTTATGTTTTTTTGTTTTTTTTTAAGGAAAAAAATTATATAGTACTAGGAGCACTTTGACTCCAACACTTCATACACAGGAAATAATGACACATATAACAGAAGCAGGAGTTGAAGCCAAAGTGAAAAAAGATATTACTATGCATAAATTTTATGTTCTTACAGCACCCTAAAATATGACAATTGGCGAGACTTGCAAATCAATTGCAAAAGATACCTTAGATGTATCCTACCTCCAACCATTCCTATCAAAATCATAAGAATAGGATATTCAAAATAATCTTTAGCACAACATGAACACTTCTAAATGTAGGGGAAAGACAGTGGTAAGGAGACTATTATTAAATTACTGAGTAGGAATTTACATTGTTGATCAATTACATAACCTGGAAAAGCAGACCTTGAGTAAGTATGTAACAAACAACAAGATATTTCCCTAACACTGTACTCTCACATTAAGCTCATGGTTGGTTGACTTTTACAATTACATCAAGTCTAGAACACTTCAATAGTGAGTGTGGCTTCTAGGCACATGCTAAATTCTCCATATATTTTTTTTTCTCCCACTATTTGGCTCGAAAGGTTAACTACAAACCTTTGTAAACAACCCATAGACAGACTGTTCTGGAAGGGACGCAGTGGCTGTTGGCTTGACGGACACACTCTTCAGCTTCTCTCTCTTGCCATCTTTATCACAGTGGAGCTATGAAGTTGTTGGCGTCTAAAGCTCTTAAATAACTGGAAATAATAGAGTACTGTCAGTATCTTTTTATGACTCTCCCTACAAGTTAAATTCAGAAAATGTATAAAATAACAATATCTCCTATAAGACACACAACTACAGAAAAAGAAAACACATACACATTAGAAATAATTCCAAACAATCTATAAGAACTAAGATATCATATAATTCCAAGGTGATGCTACCATTGAAACCAAAATCTCAG